TACGGTCATGAATCGTGGACCATCACTGAAAAACTTCGAACCTGGGTACAAGCTGCTGAAATGGGCTTTCATAGACGAGTCGCTGGCTTTACGTGTCTCGACACGATCCGGAAGAGTGAGATCTGGAAGAGCCTTGGAATACAGCCTTTGCTTCTCCAAACTGAGAAGTCACAGCTGCGATGGCGTGCGCATGTGTTGCGAATGCCCCCAGAAAGGAAGGCTAAGCAACTGTTCCTTGAAACTGTGACCAGCAGAAAGCCCAGGGGACGGCCAAGATTAACCTTGTGGAAATATATGGAAGGAGTCTGTTCCAGACTCCATTTGTCTTTTGCCGAAGCTCACACTCTGGCACAGGATCGGGAACGTTGGAAGCTCTCTCTGACGTGCCTGCCTCCGCGACCCGAAAGGAGAAGCAGCGATGGAAGATGAAGATGAAGAGAAACCCTGCTAATTATGCATCCAACTCAGAGAAAAATTGATGAAAATAGTTTTTTACAACGTTCTCTTTGAAAGAACGGCAATCAAGATTATTTTGACAGGACAGATTCTGTTTAAATGTTACCCAAAGGATTGACACATGAACGAACATACATACATACCAGTGGAGCATGCGATTTCCAACAGATTTCCATTGTTGTGAATGTTGAAGCTGTAAGTCAAGCAATCTAAAAGAATATATCTTGGTAAATGTACCGATAAACACTATGCATAACTGATTAAATATATCTCTTAAAATTCATTTATGCGACGAACTAACAGCTTGATTAAACGGAGTTGGCTTTACCTACAATGAAATTTACGTTAAATTTTAACCTTCAAATGAAGAAACGTGATTTCTTCCGCTTTAATTTCAAAACGTAGTCAAATATGACCTCTCTATCAGAGCACTGAATACATACAAAAGCCGGATTTCGCTACCCACTACTTTTTGCTCGAGGTTATCACAGCAGACGGCGAAACTAGTTGCATAACATAAAAGGAGTTTAACATAACAGAACAAGAACATAACATGAAACGAGTTTACGGTACAAGGGAAAGGTTCATCGCTTTCAACCTGATAACCTCATCAGAACACCCCCCACGACGTTAATCTCTTGCTAAATTCACGCAATGCTTATGTATATGTATTTTATGTGAAGACTAACAAAATAGGTATTGTACTCATTATGGTAAACTCGTACGAATTGATTTATTCGTCATAACAAAGAAATCACATACCTTCAGGGCTGAAAATGGCGTACTGACATTTCTCCCGGTAGTTTGACATAAGAGCGCAATTTTTCAGATCACCGCAAAAACTCGTATCCATGCAAGCCCTAAAACTCATGTCATATGAATAGACAATCTAGCAGAAAAATTTACACACCTGCAAATTGGCTGGTTTGTAATTAATTCAAAGTCAGATGTATATCTGACGCAGAAAGTAACATGAATAAACTTTCCAGCTTCCTCGTGTCATGAGCTATTTACAAGTTTAGGTATATATGAAAAGTCAAAACGTACAAAAGCAATGAAGTGCTAAGACATTTCCTGACCTCGACTTTGCAGCCCTATGTATAACAACTGTTTAGATTCGCCTCTCAGTGCTACCGGTCTAGTCTATTATTGCGTCACTAGTGCAGTTCCTGAGGAATGCACCCTTACTGATCCATTCGCTAAGAACGATTACGTTTATCCGTCTAACCATTTTCATACGTCATTCTAAGCTGTCAGTGACGTAGGAGGGCAAAATGCTCAAAGTAACTGATAGAAAGTGGATGGCAGTTTGGCTTTGCACGTTAGAGGCGCGAGATTCGAAACGCGGCGCGGCGTTAAAAATATTTATTAACCGTTAACTCTAGAACGGGAATTTATACTAAAGTGTTTCAATGCAACCAGTTGAAAAAAAGCAGCAAGTCGTTTGCCTTCAAACAATAGCGGCGGCATGGCATTCTGGCGTGGTCGTCCCAGAGGAAACAGAACTTAATATGGCCACACCATCTGATGCGTGTGTTTTACGATTGTAACGTACTTTCAAGGAGTACATCGAAAAAGAGGTCGCTCAGCGGAGTGGTCTTGTTAAAGAGGATGCACTAGGTAGCAATTGGTTGACTATGTGCTAAGTATTTCTTTACAGAGAGTTAAAAAGTAAGTGATCGCAACCTATGTAATACATGCAATAAGTATGTAACAACTCCATGGACATTACACTGCATCCGTATTATTTTATCCCGACAAAAGAAATTGACGCCACTATAAATCGTTACTAAGATCAACCTTTAAGAAATATACAGAACCAAAATGTCGTTGTTTCCTGGTTCAAACAAGTTCTTTCGACATAAAGCGTAGAAACAGCGTGTCGCTGTCGCTAAAATAATGTTGCCATGATAAAGTTCTTGCGATATTTTCCTTTCAAAAAGTCCATTAAAGAAGAACATATACGATATTCGACTTTTCGACTAGTTTGGTGTTATTCTATAGCGGATAGCAAACGTTAAACAGTCACGGAAATATATATGGGTGAATAAGAACTACTCTTCCTTCTCCGAAACATCACGAAAGAAGCGCGCTCCCACATCTTCAATTCTAAATTCCTCTTGCCAATGTTGTATGGCCATGAAATGCAGACACTGATGTAAGCCGAAGAGCACCAGCTACCTGTCACCTAAAGAACCAACGAAAGAATAATACTGCGAATCTCACGTCACAATCACATCCTCAACACAATGATCAGACAATAGAACGGAGTGACATAGGTCGTCATTGAATGCGGAAAGGAGAATCTACGGTGGGCATGGTATGAAGGACGATTCACAGAAGGAAGGATGAGCGATGATCGTCGACTTGTACTTCCGCGGAGGACTAGGCCGCTTAGTTGCCCACCACAACGGTGACAAAATTATATCAGCAGCAGGGATGATCACGTTTGAAGGGAGAAGGCTTGAAACCATGAAGAATGGTGGGAGTGTTGAGGCTAGCGGAATTCGATGCCGATTACCGGTCAATCCAAGTGATGCAAGTGAAGAGCTGCTGTATAAACTGAAGGATGCCAAGCATGTTGCCAAAAACCATTCACAGCTGTCAATGATATTAAAGCACTCAGGTACGAAAGAATTCTTCAGCTGTTTTTTAGACCAAATGTGGTGTGCTATTGTCATTCTAAAAGCTTCCTCTGGTCGGCGTTTACACGATTATAATAAGAGATCAACCTGAGCGAAAAAATGCTCACTGCCCATTTCATATGTTGTAAGCGTTTCCGATGATGTACTTGGCAATTCGTCGTACTAACGCAGTAATTTGCGCAATCTTAATACGGGATTTTACAAACAACCCAGTTTTGTGCTGTTAGTGGTGTCTCTGGGCCTTATTGTAAATTAAATCAGTGAATCAAAGAAAGGCACTGACTGAACAGGCACGTCAAGAAGGCATTAATCATCCAGTCCTGCGACAGCATCAAGCGTGGTAAAATACGAACTCTGTGCAGACCGGATAAGCTTAAACGCGCCTGTTGGCGAAAAACGACCTACCCGGTAGCACGGACCAAAAGCTCGCCTTCTGAATCCAAACGCCAGCACAGTTGCGCGCCACAGAAAGAATTTCCGAAATCAACCCGCTTCTCTGACTTTAAGAAAACTCCTGAGACACGAACCGATATGGCGGTAATGATCAATCATCCGAGTGATCATAATGTCTGCGTTGTGTATAAATAAACCGTGTTTATACTGTTTTTACTGTGCTACTTCTTAACGTTTATACATTTTTCAATAAATAGTTAAGCGTTTTGCTTTTGCCACTATATATTCAAATCTTCTTTGGCGAAGAATCACTGAGCAGGCTCGCTATCATGGATGGATCCACTGTAACGTCGCCATCGTCAGAAGCCAAAGTTCACTGGCGCAATAATCTTAACATCCTAGATCCAATCATGTGCAACCGGTGATGAAGCTTTATGGAAAGCCAGATGAAATATAAACAACTCTGTCTAGTCCAGTCGCTCTTGTTGATAACTATGAAACACTGCGAAATACTCGTTATGCTGGCGAATCGTCAGCGAACGGTGTAAATCAGGCAACAGTTATAATTTGAGGTTCCTCAAAATACGTAAATTAGGCAAAATGCGTGACGCAGAAAACAGAACGCCAGATGAGTGCACTTACTTCCAGGTGTGGCCATCGTGAAACACGATGCAGTCGGCGACGGGTCCATATCCGCTGCAACTCTTCTCGACCTGCCTCAACAGATCCAGCTGCATCTCCAAGTTTTCTTTCATAAAAGTGTCCTCCTGAAATTTCTATTTTAAACTTTATAAATAATTATGCTGGTCTAATTAACAGGATTAGCAACGCATATTTTAGGCCATTTGCAATCGATGCCGTGTGCCTGCGGTCAAAATTCGGGTTCGATCACTAAGTTTTCTGCTGATTTTGAGCAACGGAGTAGCGTTCACAGCAGTGTAAAAAAAGAATCCCGAGAAGTGAGAAATATCTCAGGTGTCTATCCTTCGAATAATGGAAAATGACATAGCATGTTGCCGATTTGCCGAGGAGAAAGGATCATCTAACAAGTAACATAATTTTCCTTCCTGAGTCTCAAAGAAGAGTAAGTAATTCTGACATCATAGTAGGGAATGTGATTATAAATCGAGAAATTGAGTTCTGATGTGATTTTTCTATTTTCATTTCTACGTTTCATTTTTGGTCAACATAACATAACAGTGCTATATTCTCAACAGGAACTGCATAACATCACCAAAGTTCACGGCCATCTTACACTGTGGCTTCTTTGCAGTGCAGATAGCTGTCAGATCTAGGAATCGCCTGCCACTGTCACTACATTCAAGGAGAAAAGAGGCCTGCAACCATCGAGATTTCGGTTTTCTGTACGTTTCCACTATGAACGGTATCCGTAGTGCCCCGTACTACGGAGCTTATGGTATGACACAAATCTCTCCTACGCTGCCATCAGTCAGGAGTGCCACACTTGTTTTTGAAAACAGTATCTACAGCGGCAAGGTCAAATGGTGTGTAGACTTCCATCCACAAACTGGCACTCATCTGTACACCTCAGAAGGACGAAATGGGATTGATCTAGTTCGGACTGAACTGTAACTTAGATTTCTACACTATGAGTCATACGTTCAAGTGACGGAGCCACAATGGCCTTGAGAAAGGGAGAAAAGGTTGCTGTACAGCCAGACTTCGTTTTAGGTTGATGAGTTCATTTCGGTCGTTGATCTGCAAATATTTTTGTTGTAGGTTCCTCATAGGTAAAAATGCAAATGAACGTGTGCAATGTAAGACATGGCACTAAAGAACTCTGTTTCACTACCGGGGCCGTCGATCCCAACGTGACTACTACGTTAAGGACCTAAACATGAGACCTGAGCTGACTTCTTACAATTTCAAAAGCCCTTAGAAAATGTGACCCGGAAAGGAAATAGCAGTTACTAATACACATCTCTCTCTCTCTCTCTCGATACCTGAAACTGATTTTGCTGTGCTGCTTAGAAATAGCTACACTTCCAAGAGCAAACGAACGCTGACTGATCTACAACAACGCTTGCTACGAAGCATACGAGGGTAAAATATATATCCAAATCATAAAAGAAATCAGTCTAGAATTAGGCAGCCGTATGGAGAAAGAAAGTGCTCAAACGCAGATGACTATCATGGATGCAATTAAGCCTCTCTAAATCACTGGCTGCGAACGCGAAAATCCAAACATGGACGGGTAGGCAGTCAGCACATCACATGATGGTAGAAAACTGAACAGGCTGCTCTGTCGATGAACAGTCTTTCATAACTTCTTCAGAGCAAAATGCGATATGCTGAGCTGAGTTAACAACATGAATCCAAAGAAGCCTGCAATTCTGTCACGTGGCAGGCCAACGATGACGGTGATAAAACAAGACTTACTAAAGAAAGATTTTCGGCATTTGAATCGTGTGCCTCTTCGAAATTATGGAGCTGCCTGGCAGCGTCTGCGACGACCAGACGATGCACCGGGTCCCATTTTCTATCTTGAAACGTTTTCTAGAAAAGTAAAAGCATGACCTACAGAAAATCTGCGAAAACAATTAAGTCAGTTAGCCACATACCTTCATCCGCTCCTTCAATGACGCTGGGTACAGATCGTAGACGTCCTTCAGACCCAGGTGATATTTTCCGCTGGGATTTCTCCAGGTTAACGGAATCTGAAACGATGAACTGCTAGTTAAAATGTCTGCGACACGCTAGTACGTGCAAATGTTACTGAGGGTAACAACTTTCGATACATCTTGCAAACAGCGTCGCTGTTAACCTTAATACGATGGGGAGACATTACCTGTGTGTTTATCAGAAAACGGAGTGAAACCTTTGCTGGCGAAGGACAACAAGATCATTTCTCCCAGCGCCCGTAAGCCTGATATTCAGGTAATCTTTATGCTGATAAATTCCGCTGGAAACTGATTAAGTCAAGTCTACTGCCTGAGGCAGAACTGCACAACGGTTTGATTTTAAAAAATATTAGAATAAAGCGCGTTATTAATTTTGTTAATGCCAAGATTTTACTGCTAATGAACAAATACGATATTCAATCTCGAGAGAAGTTACTGGCTATGAAAAGTACACCTTAAATATTAAACTACCAATTTGTATTAAATTGTGATAACCGATACTACTTAGCATGACAGTGTTCATGGGACCAATGCAATTATCGATACGCATATCGTATGCATATCTTGCGCAAAACTGAAAATTTTGTACAAACTGTTATTCGTATTCACCCATATGAATTAAAATTTAATATGTGACTAGGCTGAAAGGCCTATTACAATTATTTGTGCTAAAACAGTCAACGCCACAACTTTGCTAACTTTGACATCGTTGATGAGGGTGAACTAGATGAAGAGGAAGAAGTAAAAGAAAGACTGTTACAGGAGGAAGAGGATGAGGAAAGAAAAAATGACCGCTACCGCCGACATTGCGGACTGTGCTTCACATACCTTCTTCAGAGTAATCATTGGTCGACAGTAGTGACTGGTCGTGTCTGTGAATTGCTGAAGACAGTCTCTGCATTCGAATAAAAAACGCATCGCCTGCAATCGGCAAACGGTAACAAAACCAACCCCTAGTGTTATTCGGATTCACAGATGTCGTAAACAAATCTAAACGCTGGTTGCAGCTCTCATCCTGACAAAGTACCATATTACTTTTCAACCAACTGTGCTGTGTTTTATTTGAAACTTGGTAAGGTAGAATTGCAAAGCAGTGCTTTTAAGGTTTAATACGAAAACAGAGGTAGTTAAGCTGCAAGTACAGAGAAACTTGATATAATACCCGCATTTAGCGAAAGCATCAATTTAGCCTAAGTAAACACTCCTTCAAAGATTCGTAAATATGCATTCTGCTACATATCAAAACGGCAAAACTTGAAGGAAAGCAGCTTTAGACGATTCAAACCGCCATTCAAAAACTAACACTGACTTACCGTCAGCAGACGTCCTGACAATCCTCTTATTGTTCCATTGCTTTCCGTTCGACAGACGGAAGTGTCAACGTCCCCAGCCCCAGTGCAACTGACAATATCGATCAACTTTGGCTCCCCGGTACTAGTTTTCTATAAAATTCAGAAATTTATCAATCATCAAAATATGCTCACAAATTTCTATCTATAAAAGAGAGTCTGTAACAAGTGAAAAGACTGCCTTCCCTACACTTTTGTAATGACTTTTATAAACTGTTGCAACTGCGTCATATATTTTTGCATAATATTAATTGCCCTCTGCGTTGAATAAAGGATATTAACTACGACTCCGGGAAGTTGGCGACTTCTGCTTCTTTGTATTTATTGCTTGTTGTCCTTCCGAGCAGCTTCAAAGTTCTCCAATAGATTCTGTTCTGTGCATTTCGTTTTTCCTGCCTGCTGCACTTTAGGCAAAGAGGATCTTTGTTATGAACAGTGTTAAGAAAATTCGAAAATGTCTCTACATTAAATTAGTTCACCTTCAGTGCTCAGTGACATGAATGGGAAGAAACAGAGCAAACAAATGAAATCGAAATAAACAAAATTCAAATTATACGTATGTGACAGTGAACAACTCATTATTACCATCACCTGTGACTAACTGGGCCGTTGAACAGATATGCAGCAATTTTGAAGAACATCCTTTTCATTACTAGCGGTCTTCTGGCATGCGTCCAATCCAAACTGTCAATACACTGTTCCAAGATATCTTATGGAGTCCTCTCGTGTTTCTACAGTGTCTTGCATGGTGACTTTCGGGAAGCCGCAGGGGTACGACATGCACAAAGTACCGCAGCAAAATACGGGTTGGGATATCACCGCCGTTATTAGCAGCCTTCCAGACCTGCAAATTGCTTACGACTCGTGATATCCGCTCATCTAAAAACTTCACAGCCGTTTACTGCGACCACGAAGGAAAGATTCCGCCTCTACAACAGATCTCCGTTCAGTTTCCTCTGCCAAGTGATATGCTGGCGACCGATCTTTCGCTGGCCATGTTTCGGCTCCCAACTTTGCTGCTGTTGAGCCAGTGAAGCTTGGTCAATTGTCTGCAGATGGTCGAACCAGGCCAACTTTCGGTCTCTGAGCAAGGAAACTAGTTTCAGATCAACCAGCAGGTACGTACAAATGGATCTTCAGCAAGCTTTGCAACCAGCATTGTTTCAGGATGTCCATCTGATAGCGCCAACGTTGCCGTTGATAGTCCGGCTTTGATCAAAAATAGCAATGTTACGTCGTTAATGACCACTACGCCAAGATGTCGGAACAATTTAACAACGTTTGTTTCAGGTTTTCCCATCGGACGGTATTTGCAAACTCTCTTTTTCTGTGCATGTGCTAGTTCCATTGCATTTTTCGATGTTCACTTCGACGGAAAAAATGTTCTTCTCATATTCAAACGATTAACCAGAACTGAGTTATTTTTTAGTACATGTACATACTTAATGCACCGAGTGTTTTTCATTGTTCAACTTCGATTACGTTGTATAGCGAGCTTCGCTTTCAGGTTAGACACTGGTCTACTTGGAACACTCTACGCGTCAATCCAGTCGTTTTTTACTTTCTTCGTCTTGTTTTCTTCTCCACTGTACGATGATATCACAATGGTGTTCGACTGTATTGCTGACGTTCGTCACACTTGCCAACATCTGTACCGCCGCCTGTGCTTGTCGCCGCCGTACTCAGTAGATCCACCAATGCTTCTTTCCAGTTTTTTGCCATGCTTTGAGCCTAAGCTCGCCAGCCTGGCTCCAAAACCCTAAGCTAGCGTAAACTCTAATCAGATGTTAGCAAAATCGGTAGCTCTGACCCGAATTACAACATTAACTATCGTTAAATATCTGGATCCTTCAGCATGTGCAAGTCGTACTTCATTTGGGGAATTGAGAATTACTGACGTCTCTCTCTCTCAGTCAGCTTATAGTCAGACAAAGCTTACAACGTTCCCGATCCTGTGCCAGAGTCTGAGCTTCGGCAAAAGACAAATGCAGTCTGTAACAGACTCCTTCCATATGTTTGCACCAGGTTAATCTTGGCCGT